AAAGCAACAAAATTATATAACAAATTATAGTCGGAAAAGAAGATACCCTATAATCATCATGCACTAAATCACAACACCTCTACCTGTATCTCGAAAACAATAAACTCACAAAATATCTGATATAATGGAATATGCATACACCTGTGTTCCTCCCTCACTGGAATATGATTGGCTGGTGTCCGTCATAAATACCGACGGACGTGTAGAGTCAAAAGCCTTAGTCTGAGAGCTAAGTCTATAACGACGCCCATTGGACTACGTCATTGATCTACACTTCTTACCTGCAACTACGACGCGTACGAGTCGATTACTGCTACCGTATTCTTCTTGGATATAGTAGCCAAAACCACTTAGCTACTTCGTTCAAATATATCCCTTTCCGGGACATATCATTATCAACAAGCAGTAAACAAAAACCAAACAAATTCTTCAGCATTAAATAACCCAAAAGGGTTAATATGCTGGTAAAACAAACAACTAACTAAATAAATAATAATAATAAAATAATTGTAATAATGAAAATTCTATTGATACGTAGGGTTCTGACAAAAAGCAAAATTAAGAGTAAATTTAGAAATAGATGTTTATATTGCTTCATTGAAAACTTTGATGAAATAACAAAGACTGGGGCAGAGAATAGGAGAGGAGATTGGTTGCTCAATATTATCCTAAATTTGTTATGAGAACATTCATAAAAGATGTACTTGCAATGCTAGTTATGGTTGTTTTCCATGAACACTATCGAGTGTTTCACAATTTTTCGAAACAAAATCATACGGCGCAAATCAAAGACCACACATGATAGAGTAATGGAAACGATTATTTATTTTATTGAAAGGTAGAAGGTTAGCATTTTAGGATTTGCAACAATTTAGTTTCAAACATGAACCAAAAATATCAAGAGGAGACGTAGATTATATGCCCCAGATATCAGCTGTTCTGTTGAAAGCACTGTTGAATGTAAAGTTGTTGATAACGCGTGTACGTTCCTCCTGGGTAATCACTTGAATCTTTTCACTGATGTCTGCTTTCAATATAGCAAAGGTTCGAGGGCTATCCCAGTAGATGTTGTCCTTGAGGACCGCTCCCCTCCCGAGGAAGTAATCTGGGTGGTTCAAATCAGGTGTGTGAGGTACCCATTCCACTTCAGCTTTGCAGCAGATGAAACACTTCCTAAAGTTTTCACGGAGCCATGCCATGGGAACATTAACAGTGTGAAGAAGGGCAACATCCTGCTGGAGCTACTGTACCTCCTCATCCTCACGCTCCTCGAGCTCTCCCCACTTGAGAGACCGCCTGCTTTGTTTCAATAATTTTGAAATACTCTGTACAATAGTTACAACTTCAAGATATTTTTAAAAATTTTGTCTATCCCCCTTATCCTCATAGTGTTAATTTCCTACCACCTCATCTTTATTTCATATTACACACCTCAATCATCATAACAATTTTAAGATTAGTCCTTTAACTTGAATAGCCCTCGAGGCTTATATTGAATGCATTCTATTATAAAATAACATAACACTAACAAGAAGAGTCAAAGACACTTTCCGTCGGCCAGTGATTAGCAAGTTAATCTCATAGATTCTTTTTAATCTTTGACCCTTCTTGTCTGTCTTACAGCTTATGCCAGACTTAGCCCAGCTTTGTCAGACATTTATTGTTGGAAGTTGCCATGTCCCTTCGTTCAGTCAGTAAATTGGTGACTTCGTACTGCGGACTGTTTGACAGGAGTTTAAAATTTGATTCGTCATCTGAGCCATGGCTTCCTTGATTGGTGCCGCAGTAACGACGTGTTTTCAGTATTTGCCTGTTAGATTAACGAGCTCTTAGTGGAATTGCAACCCCACCGTAGAATCAAACAGCATCTTATCCAGCAAATACCCATTACTTGGAAAATTAAGATCTAATTCCATTAAACGGAAGCTTAATCACCTGCCCCATTAGATCTCAGATTTTCTTCCTGGCATCGAATGAAAAGCCCGTTTAATGTCGACTCTAGTAGCGTGTGGAACAGTTCGACTTAAAGCATCCGGACTTGTTTCGGTCACTTGTTGATTGTTGTTGTCAGGAAATAAATATAATTCAGCTTTTATGAAACAGATCTTCAGTTCAGGAAAAATTCAAAACTGGCAGCTTTGTTGAAATCGCTTCGTTAAGAGTAGGAAGCTAGAAAATTTCTTCAAGCATTTTTTTCTTTTATATTGCAAGAAAATTCACGGTTAAAAATTTATTCAGTTTTGTCTCTTTCTGATTCTAAATACAAGTTAAATTTTTATAGCCATTTTTTCAAGTTTCCTCATTCCTCACATGTTACGCCCATGGTATTGTCAGCAAACATCAGAAGAACCACATCTTTATTGTCTCTTCATTTGTGAGAAAATAGTACAGCATTCACTGCCATTTTGGAGGACTGATATTAAATAGCACATCAGCACTCTTTTCTTTTACTTAACGAAATTTTTCTGTTTCTTAATATTTTGCTTAGCGTTTAGAAAGCATCTTATTAATTTAGCATTCACTGCCATATCGAAGGACTGATATTAAATAGCAGTTCAGCACCCTATTCTTTGTTGTTAACGCAATTTTCCTGCGTCATATATTTTGGTCTTTTACATTTATTTTTATTGATTCCTTTTCTATGATTTATCAACCTTTTGCATGTTATTTAAAGCCAGAAAATATTTTTTATAGTGTAAGAATCTTTGCTGAAGACAGTAAAAATTTGTGTTGTAAGTCTGACTAATTAGTCCATAGCTGAGAGATGCATTTCTATATTTCCCAAGGTTATTTACACCTCAAGGAGTATACCGAACCCAACTGTCATTGAAACTCACTGCTCCGATTAACATATCCATTACACCATCCTCACTCCCATATTTAGCACCTGATATTCACAATGCAGTCACCCATCTGGGTACTGACCTGGCTCGACGCTGCTTAACTTCGGTGATTATGCTTCAAAGTGATATGGCCGTAATCCTTGGCTTTTACAAGGCCACATTCACTATTCTAATGTGCCTGTATCAGGTTTTCCGTCATCTGTTAAAAAACATTTCCAGATTGTTGAATTACTGTATTTGCTTAATTTAATTATGCCTCTATTGTATTTATTAAATTTGGAACCTCTAAGGAGATCTTTAAGTATTTCTAATATAATTCTATAAAACCCAAGAGAAATATTCTGCCAAAAAGTAATATAATTGGCCGTAATTAATGGTTTTATTTTTCTCACGGGGTATTCGAGATTTTGTTGTAAACCCAAGAGAAAAACGCCGAAAATCGCTTTGAAATGATTCCATAGAAGTTCTTTTTGTTCGATTTGATAAACGAGTTTATCAAATAAAAAATCTTTAAATGTCGGTGAATTTTAAAATGGTACGAACTTGTGTTGGAACCAAACACCGAAATTACGATTTTAACTGTAAACAGTAAGATCAGGCATATGAATCAGAAAAAAAATGGAAGGAAAAATTTTTTTTTGTGCAGTTGGATCCGATTCATCACAAATATATCTTTGAGAAATGAAACTAAATGTCATTTTGTTTTCCAGAGAACAGACATGGTTCTAGAAATCAAGGATTGAAAGGAAGACATAAGTGATTATTGTGCAACGGCTAGAAATAAAAGAATCTTCAAGAATTTGAATCATGGTTTTATTTACTTTACGAATTGTATTAGATTGGCGGCAAGTCTTATCATTTTACAGTAGAAATGGTTACATATAACCGTAAGTTCTATGCTAACAGTTTCTTCTCTGGCATTTCTCTTTCCCGGCTTTTTTTCTTTCCAGTCAACATTGATCTTTAAACACTTAAATGTAATATCAATCGTTATTTTCTGTCTTCTTAATTCATCTACTTTCATTGTTCTTTCTCATAATGGTGTTTTGTTGTCTCATATTTTCTATTTTCTAACAACTCTTCCGTCTCAGTGGCTTTATTATCTTGCTCGAGGTGAAATCATTAAAAAAAATATGAAAGATTTTTTTATTTATATAATCTCCACTCAGACTAACGTTTTCATCTTCTTCATTATATTTCTTCTGGAGTTTGATTCTCCATGTCACCTTAAGAGAAATTCTAACCGAAGCCTTTATTTAAATTAATGGTGTATAATAGCCGAGAAACGTTGATTCGGAAATCGACTGTCATAATAATTGTGAGTTCAATCCCTAGGCCGGGTAGTAGGAACACGAGGAGAAATAACCAAGCAGTACTAAAAAAACACACCATGTTGTCGCTAGACATACGTAGAAGATCGAATACAAGCCGGTCACATAGACTAAATACAGTGTTAAGTTCAAAATTCTGTTACTCAGATCTGTAGACATCTAAAAAAAGTCCGGACAATGAAGGTTCAGCCATACACTTGTGTGTTATTTGCATAGATATTTAATAACGATGGCAATGGCTTGGTTGATTTTGTTAGGCGGTATATCAACACCTCTATAGTTTATACAATTTCGAACACAATTTTATGACATCAACTAAATATATTTTGAACGCAATTGGATGCCTTCAATTACAGAAAAAATGTATTGTTGGTTATTTGGCTATAAAATGTATGCAAATATGTATGGTTGGTAATTTGACTACAAATAGGTACTTTATGCTCCCATAGTCTTTTCTTTTTCTTTAGTAGTTTACTATTTGCCCATCCTGACAAGTTCTACCACCCCGGGTTAAGGTGAATCTGAGAACAACAGTAGTTAAGAAGGGGTTCAATGCCTCTCAAAACCTTTAATTTCTCGATCAGAGTCCTTGCTGCCGGATGTAGTTTATCGTTATACCCAGGACTGACGTTAGCAAGGGTTTTAATTTTCTTAATTTTTGGGGAGAATATTCCACAATATATTGTCGAATTAGAAATCACACTGCCATCTGTAAACTCTAGAAACCGCTTGGTACCAAAAGGTACAGAATGATTTGTGCATTTAAGTGATACTACTTCACCAAAGTACTAAACGCTATTATTTCGAGAATTTAACTATTGGTTCGATGGTCTTGCCTGCAGCTTTTATGTCATCTCCATGCCCCGACGAGGCATCAGATTTTCTTAATAATTCTTCAGTGCACTTCTCAGCCAAATATGGTCGAACGTGTCATATTCAATACGGCCTTAAAATGGTTTCATAGCCCGAGGAATGTAAGTTATTCGAATTCAACATTTTGGTATAATAAACGTTTTAAATAATAGATACATCACAGCAGAGCGACTTCTAAATAGTCGTCTCCTCTTGTCAATTACCTCAAATTTTTTATACTTATATATTTTTAAATATAATCGATAGCCTACTAACCAATTATTTAAAAGTTGTCGTTTATTATATATTTCTATTTAGCTGACATTAATCTGGCTCAAGGCCAAGAATATTGGGCCCAAGAAATATTCGAACGTACAAGAGTAATTGATAAAAACTGACCAATGGTTAAGGCCCAGATATGTAGATAGGCATAGCTATGGTACAAGTGCGTAAAAATGAGACATTCAGTCAAGATCAAACTCAATATACTGTCGTATTGGCCCACTTTCAGGCTTGGTAAAAGATATTGTATGGCAAGGTATTTGGTCCATTCTAGTCCAAGACTTCAGGTGTTGGTCATCCAGTGTGGGGGATAATTTCACTGCACAGATATAGTGACATGTATGATTATTTCTGTAAAAGGTCTTTACTTAGAGGCCCTTACTGTTTTTAGGTATTTAAGTGTAGTTTATTTTAAGTCCACATTTGCAGATATCGAGCTAAGTTTGGAATCAGCACATATGCTAGGCCACAAAAATCTCCTGAGCCGATCAAGCATAGAAATGAATACCATATGGGAACCAGCAATAAGGAGTGCCAGAAAAAAGGCGATAATAACAAAAAAAATTGCAATATAAGCTCTGGTAAAAAGATATATTGATAACAGACAAATTACAATATGAGCACTGGTAAAATGTTTGCTGAAGACATTAGGTTTATAATACTCAGAAACTCATGAACAGATGTCCCCAAGGACACATGGCAAAGTGGATAAAGGCGTTGCTTAGATCCAGGGACAAGACCCAAAGAGTGTGAGTTCAATAGCAAGGTTAAGGCAGTGGAAAACTTGGAGATGGGAATTAACAAGAGATAACTGATAACTGACATCCATTAAAACATGCACGTGCAACTAGTCTACCCCAGTGGGCGAAATAAAGGTTTCAGTTCGACATCCCAACCACCCGAAGAAGGCTGAGACGTTGTAATAAATATGGCGACACATATGAGGACAAGAGTTCGAATAATCTAAATAGAGAACCTCCAAACCTTTCTCAAAACCTGTCAGAATAGCTATGTATATATTTTTTTTAATTAATATCAGCAATACTAGCAATAATTTTTGATAAAAAAATTACCAGTAATCCATTTTCGAAAAGAAATTATCAACAGCAATATATTTTTGGAAAAAAATGATTGCAATTTACTAACATGTGCATTTGGTCATGTTTTTTTTTAAAAATACGAAAAAAAGTAAACAATAACGGAATTATTCGTTTTGGTTCAATTAATTTGCACAAGGGTGTAGTATTATTATTGTATTATATGCATTAATAAAACTTCATCTCTGATTCGATGAGTAAATGTTGTTTTTTTAAATACTGGAAATTTCTTTTTCGGATTGAAAGTGGCTCAGAAGTGAAAGGAAGTTTTATCAATGAAACAAAATGTTTTTTTTTTTTACAAAATTATCTCATTGCTGAGTCCTTAAGTTTGTTTTTGCAAAATGCACAACATTAAGTATTTTAACGTTTGGAATAGATAAAATTGCCACAGCAATACATTTCCCGTGAAGATGTTCAAAAATTCTGAAATATATAAATATTGTATTTTTCCTTTTTTTTTTCTATTAAAGGAAAAGGTTAGATGTTGTGTTCGATAAATATGTTGTTTGTATCCTCTAGGTGACGACAATGACTTTTATGAAGTTAAACTGTCAAAAGTTCACGACTGAAAAATACTATATTGCTTTTTGTGAATCTTGCATGTTTGCTGAGAATTTCTGAATAAATAGAATAATGTCTCAGTTTTTATCCCGAAAATTTGTACGTCGTGGTGCAGTTCAATTTCCAATACAATGAATCATTTATACCAAAAGTAGATTAGTAAAGTTAATGAAATCATATATATATATATATATATATATGAAACATTCATGAGTAAGGCGTATGCTGTAGAATTAACTGATCATATATGAATGGCAACAGTGACAGTGCAACTTTACAATTAATAGGTGCTGCGTTGCTGCGCTAAGAAAGATGGCATATATTTCCGAAAATATATATTACTCTAGAAGATTTTAAATTCAAAGATGTTGATCTCATAAAGTAACTAATTTCTGACTTTTGCTCCAGCTGAGCGGTTGGTGGATATTATGCCACTGGATGAACCAATAAAGAACTCCTCGTAAGGTTTGAATTTAAGCGACGTCTCATGCAATAAATCGTCTGGAATGGGATGTCAATTAACTTTCCTGTTTGATTCAGTACGTCAACCCGATGAACTATTGAATTAAATCTTGTAGATTATGGAAGGTCTTCATCTCATTTGTCCAGGTTCAATAGCGAACATCTCCTGCCATATCACTTTATGTCTAGCCATGACAAATTATCCCTTCAATATAAAGCTCGTTTTGATTCTTTTATGTTATTCTCCAATAGTAATATCCAGTTCATTACCTTCAAGACAGAATTTATCATTGCACATTTTCTTATAAACCTTCCTTTGTCGTCAATAGTAAAACCCACATCATTACTTTTAAGAAGAAAGTAATCAAACATTTTCACATAACACTCCCATTCCTAACTTGTGGAATCTTTAATTCATCCTATAATTTTCGGGATATAATTGAGTGTACAGTAACCAGTTCATAATAGTCCAGATTTCAGAGATCCATGGTGGGAAAGAAATGTTCCCGCATTGAAAGTTCTGTGATTCAATTTTAAATACGCACGAAATTAATGGTCATTGATACTTTTCGTGATGTCAAAGAAAACTCGTTGCCACTTTTGTAATGCCAGAGAACACTCGTTGCCTTTTTTTGTGATGCAAACGAATACTCGTTTCCTTATTTGTGATGCCAACGAATACTCGTTGCCTCTTTTGTGATGCCAACGAATACTCGTCGCCTCTTTTATGATGGCAGCGAATACTCGTTGCCTCTTTTGTGATGCCAACGAGTACTCGTTACCGCTTTTATGATGCCAGCGAATATTCGTTGTCACTTTCGTTGTAGTAGAGACTATGTAATCGCAGATACAACTATAGTAACGCCGTTGAACAATACCGGTGTCAGACGCCGTCGATTATCACTCTCACTAATACTACTTGCTCCGTAATACTAGCTCGAAAAGTAACCACCGTATCGTGATCCGAATAGAGAAGAGAATAGAGAATTAATAGAGGATAGAATAGAAATGGCGATCCGTATAGTATAGAGGATAGACTAGAACTAGCAATTCAAACAGTAATAGAGGATAGAATACAATTGGAGATCAATTAGATGCACGCTGCTCCCATATATGCGTTCCTCTATGGTCACGTGGTCTACTTAATTCAATAATGGGACCGCATCTGTTTGCTCACTGGTGATCTGTGTTCAAACTCTAGTTTCGGCAGCGACAATTTATTCCTATATAAAAATACTCATCCTACTGAGTCAGTGTGATAATATCCTTTGTGTTGTCTACTCGGGTTCATTCATTACGTTGTCTGACGTTGTTGGAACGGCTCTGAAATCTTTCCGATAACTGATAAATCCGAGCAATGCGACTACATGAAATGTTGTGTAAAAGCTAAACAAATATGAAGAAACAGAAAAAATATGCTTTTATCACAGTCAGTCCATCTCTGTTTTTTTTATGTCCATTACTTGATACGTATTCATATTTATCTTTAAGTATCAAGCAGTCTTAGTTCGTATCTCTCCCAATACAGTTCTCTGTGAGCAGAATTTTTTTTAGGTTTCTTATTTCTTTGGCTATTGATAGCAAGTAAGATCTCAAGGTCTGATCCACAAATATGATTTTTTTTTTTCGTCCGTAAAATCTTTTTATTCTAATTCCAGAAAAAGTAACAGAGGAATTATATAACGAGTGCGTAGCATTTTTGCGTTAGTGTCATCCATGTTTTTTCTTTTTAATCCCCGCATTGCAAAGCATTGGACTTTGTTTTTGTCATCTCCGAGTTTATCTTTCATTTAACTTTTTCCTTCTTTTTCCGTTTTTTTTTTTTTTTCTAATTCCGATTAGATTCTTTTTCTTTCCCATCTTTTCAGTTTTTTTTTCGATTTCGATCCTGTCATTGGTTCCGTTGATATTACACCATGTCAATTCTTATTCACTTATTTAAGCTTAGTTTTCTTTATGGATCATCCACTGAGGATCGAACTCATTACACCGTAGCAATGATAACCTTCGCACATCCAGTAGTTTTCTTTCTTTTTCTTTCATTCTCAAATATTTTTCTTTCTTTTTCCAATATCGGCCTTTTTTGTCTAATTTTTCGTTTTGCTTGATTGCAAATTTTTTCTTTCTTTCTTAGATTTCATTTTATTTATCATTTTTTTTCAATATAGTTTTCTTTTCTATTAATTCTTACATTTTACGATTTCTTTCTCTCCTTCTTTCTTTCACCCATTTTGTTTTTTTTTTCTATTTCAATATCGCATTCTTTTTGTCTAGTTGTTCGTTTTACAATATCTATTTTATAATCTTCTTGAATAGCTTTCTTTTATGTTGTTTTTTACTTTTTATGTTTTCTTTCTTTCTTTCTTTTATTTCATTTTCTTTTTTCATTTTGTTCTTTCAATATCATACTCCTTTTTTGTCTCGTCTTTCAGTTTACCATTTCTTTCTCTATTGTTTTTCTTTCGTTTCTTTCTTTCCGATTTCATTTTAAATTTCATTTACTTTCTTTTTTCACTATTGTGTTCTTTTTTCCAGTTTTTCGTTTTATATTTTCTTTCTTTCTTTTTCTTTCTTTCTTTCTTTCTTTCTTTCTTTCTCCCATTTCATTTTCTTTTTCATTTTGTTTCTTTCAATATAATATTATTTTCTGTCACGTCTTTCTTTTTTATCGGTTGCTTTCTTTCTTTCTTTCTTTTTCTTTCTTTTTCCTTTTTTCTTTCTTTCTTTCTTTCTTTCTTTCCAATTTCATTTTAAATTTCATTTACTTTCTTTTTTCATTATTGTGTTCTTTTTACCAGTTTTTCGTTTTATATCTCCATTCTATTTCTTTCTTTCTTTCTTTTCGATTTCATTTTAAATTTTTATTTATTATATTTTTCAGTATTGTTTTCTTTCTCCATTTTTCGTTTTGTATTTCCATTCTTCTTTCTTTCTTTCTTTCTTTCTTTCTTTCTTTCTTTCTTTCTTTCTTTCTTCATACGACCATATTTCAATTTCCCCTATATCAGACCCTCCCACTCTCTACCAACAAGACCATTTTCCATATATACACTCCTTTTCTTTTCTTTTTTTTCAAATAGTTTTTACATTAATTCAACCTTATTAGAATTTCCCCCTTTTAGGTTTCGTTCTATATTCGTATGTCAGTTTTCTCTCTATTTTTTTCTTCCATCTCTTTATTCCACTAATGCCACCGCTTGGAAGATTTGGAAGAAACTGTTTGCCTCCTCCTCCTCGTATTTTTCTGCTATTTTCATTCCTGCTTTTTCCAAGCACAAACTAATCTGCGAATTGAGTCTAAAGCCAAAAATGTACACAACCGATGGATATTAATATCGAAGTCAAATAGCAAAACACGCAAGCCGATTCTCGTGGGCACATCACTGAGAATATACGAACATGAAATTAAAAATATTTATAACATTCAAAAACCTGCGCTTTGATTTTACAAGTAGGTGACGGTATTAGCAAATTCTGAAAGAATTTCCAACGTAAGATAATTATGAATGCATTTTCGCATTTTCAGGTGTTTTAGGCGTTTGTTTACAAGCCACATGTCCCCATGTAACTTCCAAAAAACATCTCGTGTGCTATGTCATCAACCTGTTCTAAATTAAATCTTTATCTCAGAAAATCTTTTTTCACCTGTTTACAATATATTTACATAATGCATATAATAGCTTTCATTTGTCAGTATTTTTAATGCAAAAATTCACTGAATACAAGATGCAATGGACGTGAGGCTATTAGTAAATACTAAATGTAGCTCTAGTATTAGATAATTACCAATGCCTTTTGGTGTTTTCAAATGTGTTAGGTGTCTGGTAACTAGTTACAGTATTTACAAAAGTTTTTTTTTATTCCTTAGATCATGGTTTCCCACAATGGGCGCTATCGCACACCGGTGGGCGATGTAAACTGTTGGGTGGGCTATGCGCAACAGAACAGAATATTGTGGACGATTGAAAATTCTGGTGGGTGATATAGGATTTTGAATATTAAAAAGTTATTTCGACATATGCTACCCGAAAAAATATTCAAAGGAAATATGCAAAATCTAAAATGTATAAAGAAATAAATAAACAGGAGGTTAAACTGGATTAACTGAGTCACAGTCATAGATAAGATATAAATATCCCCGCAAACAAGGAATATGCTGGTATTCGCTATAGTTTTGAGAATAGTTATTAGCATTCAAATAGTTCTTCAGACGAAATAACATTTTTTCGTACACACACACGCACACAAGCACACACACACACACACACACACACACGCACACATACGCACACACACACATATATATAATTTATTAGAAAATTATAACATAAATATGTTATAAAATCACTACAAAAATAGCCATTTTGTTTCAACACTTTTGGTCTCTTATCAAGTGATGGTGTTCGATGTAGAATCTACATTCAACACGATCACTTGATAAGACACCAGAAGTGTTGAAACAAAATGTTTAATTTTGTAGTGATTTTATAACATATTTATGTCATAATTTTCGAATAAATTATATTGGCTCTATTCTGCATTAAGCACTCTTTTAAGAATATTATTTTTGGTTAATGGAATTTATTTCGTATCCACAAGGCGCTCCATTCAGTGCATTAGGGGATAGTAGCCGTGGCTCGTGGGGGCACAGTCCTATGGGTAAAAGAGAAACTCGGATGAGTTCCACCACGGAATATGTGATCGAGCGGCGCTATATCGAGTCTAATTCGCTACCTCTTCGTCACCGAGGCCCGTTGGTACAGTTGGTATGACGTATGCCTGATAACGTAACTGTCCAGTGCTTTATGTATTTCCGTTGAGTTTTCTTCTAGACTCAATGAATTACTTAATTATAATTATCTCAAATCCTCCTAATAATTTCTATCACATATATATATATATATATATATATATATATATATATATATATATATATATATATATATATATATATTAGTTGTAAATATACCCATACATATGCAAAAATATATAAATATATATATACATACATATATGCACATACATATATTTTTTATATAAAAAAATTCCAAGAGGATAGAATCCAGGTAGAACTCAATGTCCAGGTCATAATTTATTCCATTTATTCTCATACATACATACATACATACACATACGTATACATATATACACTCCTACATATATACACATATACACACATACACACACAAGTACGCACATATACATGTACATATAAATCAAAATGTAAAATCTAAAAAAGTAAAATTTAAAAAATTTTGTCTCAAAAAAATTAAATACATAGCGCATCACATAAACATACACAGTGATATATATATATATATATATATATATATATATATATATATATATATATATATATATATATAATAGATAATCATAATAGTCATTCCATTAAAATGTCATGCCCGATGTTATTGAACCAAGATGGAACTGACATAAGTGACAACATGATATAAAACGGTGATTATGTTTTGAATCGTTTCTTATGTCTACATGTATATATATATATATGTATGCGTATATATGTATATATATGTATGCGTATATGGATGGATGTATATGTAGGTAGATGTGTATGTAAATGTGTTTATATGTGTGTGTGTGTATGTTTTGGTATGTATGTATTCATATATATCTGTATATGGGTGTATATGTATGTATATATGTATGTATGTATAGTTAGACGGATAGATATAGGGATACATTGTTTATTTGTTTAGATGGGTGTATGTAATTGTATGGAGATGTAAGGTTTTATGTATATATGTTTATGTGCACGTATGTGTATGTCCATATGTATATGTATGTGTGTAAATGTATATATATGCAGAAGTGGATGTGTATGGATGTATGTGTATATATATGTGTGTGTATTTATGTATGTATATGTATACATATGTGTATCTGTATCTGTATGTATATGTGTGTATATATATTCATATATGTTTATGTATATGAATATATATATATGTGTGTGTGTGTATATGTGTATATATATACATGGGTATATGTGTGTGTATGTGTGTACACGCCTATATGTATGTATGTACGTGTATATGTTATTGTGTATGTGTATATACGCATGTGTTTTTGAACATAGGAATATAGGTCCTTGCTGGGTTACATAATCATTATATTTATTTTTTATATGTTTATATTTGATTTGTAACCTGTAGTCGATATTAATTTTGTCAAATTTTCTTAATTACACAGCGACCCTTTTATAAATGCCCTTCAGTTTTAGTTCCCCCCGCCCCATCTCTCTCCCCCATCCCTTTTTCTTTTCTATTGCCCCCCTCTTCTTCTGATCTTTAAGATTAGATCGTCTATTGTGTGTGTATGTCACCACAAATTGTATCCTTTCCGGTTACATCTTTAATGCATTAGACATCCGACAACATTCTTATTTCTCTCACTTAAACCGTCTTTGACACCCCTCTATAAAACTCCTCTCTGTTAAACTTTAATCCCCCACCTCCTCTCGTCTGTTACCCCTCTCTTTAGCTCTAACATTCGTCCCCCACTCTCATACTTACACTCTCTCTAAATTTTATTTTTTATTTTTTATTTTTTAATTTGTAGGTCTGATGAATTGGATCGTATTTACGATTCCAATGGAATAAATTATGACCATGGAATATTAGTGTTTAAACCTTTTTATTATATATATATATATAAATATGTATATATCAGATAAAGACCAAGAGCAACAAAAATATTCACTGAATCTTTATTAGTTGTTAGTAGTGTATATTCTTTTTAATTCTATAATTGACCCTAAAACTAAATTATATATATAAATCTTTGCCACAGACAATCTTTTTGCCGTGAGTTAAAACACATTCATATAATGCATATAATAGTTTTTATCTGTAAATGATTTTGAATGTGGTTTTATATCACATCATTGTCAAACATTATTCACGTGTATCTTTGCCTGACATGTTATACAGGCGAATACAAATTGCAGAAATTGAAGAATTATTTTAAGGTGGAATCCAAACCATCTTAATCTACTTGTCGGATTTAGAACCTTCCAGGAAAAGAAAGACTCTCTGACCGTGCTAGCCCGAAAATGATTTATGACATTCAAGGGCAATGGTTTGAACGTTGCAATAAAACTCAGAAATGAACGTTCAACAATTGTTGTCTTCAGTGCTTTACATAGCAAAAGAATTTGCCAAAAGGCCCTTGATCTCTCTCAGGAGAGTTTGGTTTTCGCCTCGGTTTCAGCTATCAAGGTTTTAGGTGCAGAGGTTGTAGGTCCTGATTGCATCTTTGTGTAGCTTTTCGCTTCCTTATTGCTGGGAATGACTACCCTGTTCTCATTTTCGTCCGACACCGACTCGTTTCTTTTGTGGTCCGTCTAGCAGAAGCATAGCGACCGCCTGTAGCATGTTTTCCCAAATGACATCAATTTGTTAACATCGGCGGCTTTCAGTGTCCAAGTTCCGCAACCATGTAGTTCCACCGGCCAAACTAAAGTCTTCAGGAGTTTCAGCTTAATGCTTTTTCGCTGGATGTACACAGCTGAACTTCTGGAAATATTCCAGAGCGGAAAATAATTTCTGGCTATTATACCGACCGGCGCGGCTCATGTCCAGCAGTACGCGTAACACAGACGATTCAATCTTCAGTAACCCGGACAATACCGGTAATGCGATATTTTTATACGAGAAGACAGACTAAATTTATTCCGTATTTAGCAAAGAAATTACCGTGAGTGGAAAAGCTCAAATTAATAAAGACATTCGTAAAGGAAAGAAAAAAAAAACGGCTAATTATTAACTGTAAAGAACAGAATGTATATTCTGTTGTGCAGTAAGAAAGATGAAATGCCTGAGGCAGAAATTGGAAAATGCTTTGGAATAACAGAAGATGTCTTTACAAAAACCAAAGTAAAATATTAAGTGATCGGAAAATATCCTTGCAAATAACCAAGAGTCAGTCTGTTATGTGCCATGCATGATATACGCTTAGGCGATCATGTATCTTTCGATACATGATTAACGGGGCAGATTTTTTCATGCAGTAGGTTGCCATTTCTTTCTGCGGTAGACCAGCTGCCATCCAAGGCTAT